GATTTAGTGAGGATGATATGATGTATCATTGGATTGGGTCATTAATGAGGGAGGTGGATATAGAAGGGGAGGAGGCCATTGTAACAGGAGTGAAAGGGGCAAGCAGGCAACCATTATTCCTTTCGTTCCTTCTGTCACTCCATATGCTCATGAATAAGCGTGGCAATAAGCCCATTGGGTTGCCCCGGTTTTTTTCTAATATATTTGTTGATACAATTTTCTAATATAATTGATATAATGATATAATTTTTCTAAGCTAAAATATACAAAGTTTTCTTTAGGATTATTTGGTATGAGGAAATAGGCAGGTAGAGTGGTGAGAGAAAATTTTAATGATGAACTCAATTTTTTTAGACAAAAATGTGGTCGATTTTAAAAATTGAAGAAGTAGGGGTTAAAAGCTTTTAATTATTATTATTATTATTATTATTATTATTATTATTATTTTATCTTACATTTTCTCTTTATTAAAATTTTAATACCCTCTTTCTTTAATTTTTTATTCTTGCAGTTTTGACTTATCTAAAACCTGTTTTTTCAATTAACTATGACTTAATTTGTCTTAGCCTTTAAATTTTTAACTCATCGACAACTCAATCTTTAATCATCTGCTCAAAATTAAATGTACTTCCTCCTATTCACAATGTAAATAATTTTAACCAATTCATTAATATCAAAAACAAATAGCAGTTAATTCATTTAATATATTCTAAATCGAAACCTTTTTTCAATTTCATCAAGGTTATAAAGGAGACAGAAAAATATAAGGAGTTACACTCAATTTTTTTTAATAACGACAAAAGCAAAAGACTAACTAACTAGCGGAAGCCACTAGCATCCCCTGGAAAGAAAACAGTGGAAACCAGGAGGCATTGAAAGGGACTTGGATTCTCTCCACTAGCTTTCCATCCTCTTTCCCTCCACTAGCTTTCTTTTCTCTTCACAACCATTGGATCAAAATTCCAATGGTCCAGATTTAACATCTTATAAAAATAATGTTATTAAAAAAATAAATAAATAAATTTAAACTGTTAAGATATGGTCTGAACAGTTTACAATTGTAATAAAAAAAATTAAAAAAAGTTGCTCTATAATAACAGTCTGTAGTTATGAACTGTTCAGATTAGATTTTAACAGTTTAAATTTATTTATTTATTTTTTATCATAATATTTATTTTTATAAAATGTTATAAAATATTAAATCTGGACCATTGGAGTGTTGATTCAATGGTTGTGAAGAGAAAAGAAAGGTGGTGGAGGGGAAGAGGATGGGAAGGGTAGTGGAGAGAATCCAATTCCCATTAAAAGGGCCTTATGGGCAATGAGATCAGCGTCAGCATTCTCTTCTCTAGCACACCAGGAAGCCACAAAACAATTTTTAATGGTATCATTTTTGTCATGCAAGATGATTATGTGATGACATGCATTATGTGTCATAAATGAGAAGGAAAAATTATTAAAAAATGAAAAAAAACTAGATACTAAGTTTTAAATAAGATCAAAATTTAGAGACTAAATTAGGAACTAAGTTTTAAGTGAGTGAATACTTCAAGAATTAAAAAAAAAATTTCTCATTTAAGTAATTAAACATTTGCAAATATACCATTTACAAATAAGGGTAAAAATATAATTTATTTTTAATATTATCTCTCATGTACAATTTTATCTTTTGATTTTTTTTACCGTTGCAATCCCTCTCTAGTCTTTTTTTTTATTTTATTTTATAAGTTTTGGATCCATGATTGGAGAATATTTAAGTAGCTTTTGAAAGCTGAAAGCACATTTAGTGTCTCTTTGGAATAAGGATAGAAAAAATAGCTTATTTTCAATCTGAATTTTAAAAAAATTAAATTAGGTAAAAGTTAGACTGAATAATATGATTTATGTTTGTATTAGCTTTTAAAAAAGTTAGATTGAGTAAAAGAAAGGGAAAATCCCAAAAAAGGTCCTTGGAATATGGGAAATGCTAGATTGGGTCCTTAAATTTCGAAAATGACAGAATGGGTCATTGACCCAATCTGTCATTTGTGAAATTCAGGCGAATTGACAATTTTGCCCTCATTTATTCATTCACTACAATGATTCAAGGAATCACTATAAGAGTTTAGGTGTTACATATATTCGTATAGCGAATAACTATTCACTTTTTTCATAGTCAGGTGTCTTGTTATTAACTACAACTAATGCTGTAATCACTAGAACAATGTAAGCATTACCTAGATTTGTATAGAGAATAACTACTCATTTTTTCATAGTCAGGTATCTTATTATTGTCAAGTACCTTATTATTAACTACAACGAATCTTATAATCACTAGAACAGTATAAGCGTTACCTAGATTTGTTTAGAGAATAACTACTCACTTTTGCTCAAGGGCAAAAATGTCAATTCGCCTGAATTTCACAAATGACAAATTGGGTCAATGACCCATTCTGTCATTTTCGAAATTTAAGGGCCCAATCTGGGATTTGGTATATTCCAAGGGCTTTTTCTGGGATTTTCCCTAAAAGAAATTGTTTGGATAATGATTAAATAAATAAATTTAGTATGTAAAATTACCAAAATAGATATGACTTTATTAGATAATGTAAAATGAAAAAAATTATAAATTTACATAGTACCATAATTTTAAATTATTTTAATTGGAAGAAGTTAATTTCAACGAAATAAATATAGTTAGCTTCGAAAATTTACAGAACATATTTTTTAATATGGAAATAATTTCTAAATTTAGATTTAATTCAAATAAAAATTTCCTAATATATTAGAGAAATAAGATGCCAAAAGTGGGGAAAATCTCTACAGAACTCCAAACAAAATGCTACCGTTAACCATGCTAAAACGCGTGGGCAGGTATTCACTACCTCTTTTATTAATTTTTTTTATTTATAACTTTTCAATGCCTCAATAACACATTAGTCCCTACTGGCAACAGATCATTTTCCTTTTCTTCGTCTCCTTCAAAATCTAGGCCACTTAACTTACAACTGAACCGGTCAACTCTTGCCTTGCTCTTGATGGTGTGATGGTGGCCGGCAGTTGGAGACAGCTAGCACGATTAGGTGACGGCAAGGACAAGTCGGACGGGAGGAGGAAAGGAGTATATGAAGGAGCAAAAAAAATGGAGCCAAGAAGAGCAAGCCGAGAGTGGGGACGAAAAGTGGGAAAAGTTTTTCTTCTTTTAGAGTATTTATTGTTTTAACACTACCTTACCATCCATCTATAAGCACGATGAAATAGCAATAAGTAACTCTGAGGGGTTTAACTCAATCAGGCTTATGAATCCTGCTTTTAGTCATTAAGGGCCCGGGCTGGAAAAATAATTTATTGAAAAAATAGCTTTTAAAAAAGTGAAGTTGGATATAAGTTAAATTGGATAAGCTGAATTGTGTTTGAATTGGAGTTCAGAAAAATCAATTTACAAAAATAAAATTAATAAAAGGTTGTTTCGATTATGGTTGAATAAAAGTAAATTTAGTTATAAAATGACTAAAATGGGTATGAGTTTTAATAAATAATGAAACATGATTAAAAAAAATGATTTCACATAATACAATGAAATTAAAAGAATTCAATATGAAGAAGTAAATTTAATGAATGAATTAAATTTTAAAACTTTAGAGAAATCATAAAAAATAATTTAAATATAAAGTGAAATATAAAAAAAATGAATTGAGATAATACAATAAATTTAAATTAATTTAATATGAAGAAGTGAAATTAATTGAGTTAATTAAATTTTAAAAACTTTAGAGAAAATGCTCTGGAAAAAATAATGCAAAAGGGAGAGAAAGAGGAAATAAAAATTTGCTGAGTGTGTCAGAACGGCAGAAGTGGGACAAAATAAGCTCTTCATAAGCTCCATTCTCTAGCTTATTTTAAATGTACGACTGGCCAGCTTAAATTTTCATAAACCCAATATAACAGATGTTCTCCCAAACAACACCTCCTAATTGAATCGGGCTTATTTGTATTTTAAGCCACGTTTGGCTGATCCAAACATGCACTAAGTAGGATAGAAAATAAGTTCATCCAAATAGGTAGAATTTCTTAAACGTGCTTATAAGCTGAATAAGTTACTTTTAAACGTCTCAAACATTTGAACAAACCAGGATTTTGTGGGATGCTCGAATAAGCTTTTGGCTGGTTTTTTAAATATGATTGCAGAAGAATCTTTCATCTTTCCCTCCTAATGGCTTATTTAAATCAAAACTCATGTTAAATGCATCTAAATCACATTTAATTATTATTATTTAATTAATTATATATTTATTATTAGAAATTCGACTAAATATTTATACTCCCACAAGACACGGATGATTTGAGACGGTATTTTTTTTATCAAAATTTCAAAATTTTGAGACAGTATTGAGCTTTATATGAAATAGGAAAAATTTTCCGGATTCTCATAATTTATAAACTAAATCTTTTATTAAATTTCTAATTACGCACACAATACATCCTAACATAATCCTCCTTAATTCCGACAATTATTATGATTGTGATTTATTTCCATTTTAGGTTGGTTTCTAGACGTTAGGATTACCAACGCATTAGCATGCGTAATCGTTAAGCTTTCGGTTAACATGCATTAGGACTTTTAACGGATATGTTAAAGACCGTTCCACGACGGCGAACGAATACGTAAACATGTGCCCGTTAGCCATTTTGGAGAGCTGTGGTTTTCTGTTGAAGCCTGAAATGCGTGTAAATTTGCTGCTATTTATTTTCATTTTTCTCTTGCATGCTGTACAGAATTATTATTTACTTATTTATTTGGAATTGGAACTTTTCAGAGTCATTAACCAGAAAAGGAAGATGAAAGACGAAGGAATTCCTTGCTTGGTTCGGAGCAACAAAATGTATTCCATTTTTGCAAAGCTAGTTACCACTGACGCCTCACAGCAAATTTGTGCCCTACGGGCTCTATTCTTGAGCTCCGAGAACTCCATTTGAATTGTAGTCTGTGTCGCGTGTTGTTCAAGGTGGAGGGCTTTTGAATGGCGACTTTACACAGAGTGAAGGTTGAAGACGAGGCTAAGCAAGCAGCGGTGGAAGAGGTGGCAAAACTTCTGCGGCTTCCGGAGCATCTCCAATCCATCCCGTCTCTTAAGGCTCGTTACGTTTGCCGTCTACAGGTAAGCTGCTGTCCACTGCTTCATTCATCACACATCCATCAACTTTTAACGTTTTTGGTCATTTAACTATTTCGCTGTCCGGGGAAAGTTTCATTATTTCGTTGTTTTTCCCATTCCCAACTCATCAACCTTTTTGTTTTCTTTCGCGCCACAAGGAGCGCTTCATAGTTCATTCATTCAGTTTTGGTCCTGTTGATTTTGATCTTGCTTGTTTAACTTATCTTTTCATTTATTTTTCAATCGCTATAACTAATGTAGTAATGATGATAATCTGATCTCTCTCTCTCTCTCTCTCTCTCTCTCTCTGTATTTCCAACAATAATCTGATCTCTTTGCTTATCTAAGGAGCAGATTTTCAAGAACCAATTTCACCTCTGTCCTACGTAATAGTTAATGCAGAATGTAAGCACATGCTAGTTCTGATTATTGTTGATGTTTTGCTTTGTTTACAGGCTAATGATGCACTGCTTAACACAATGGTTGCAGAGCAGGTAATTGTTATTGAAGAATATTGAATGGAGAGCTCAGAATTCTGTACTCTGACCGATCTTATTCCGCTACGTTTAAAACCCAGCACTTGCAAAGAGGAATGATTCCGATCGCTGCCATGTTATCACAGGACACCTTCTTTGTCTTCGTATGCAAGGAAGATCTTAGACATTCATGATAAAAAGAAGCCGAAAATCCATCCTCTCTGGTTTCTTCCATCTGATTTCATCCGCCACCACCGAACCCTTTCGAACTCTTTTTCCCCGCATTATGCTAGGAATCTAGCATTCTTACTTTTTCTTAGCTGCATTTGATCATTTTATCTGGAAAAAATTGCATCAGTGAAAACTCCTAACCCCTGTTAGCTTCCTTTTTCAATACTTCGCATCGGCAAATATCATATTTATACGAAAACATGCATCAACTTGTGCGTTCTGCACTTCTTGTTAATTATCCCATGTCTTCTGTTGCTTTGCTGAAAATCACTCTTGACTGCAGGTTGAGCAAGCGCAGGCTGCATTGGAATCACTTGACTTATCCCAGAAGACGTTGAACTGGCTTCGTGAAAACTTGGTCTCTATTCAAACGTATGTGAACAATGAGATGGACTGTCACACGTCATGACTTATAATGTGCTTCTTTGGTCTTCCAATCCTGATTAATGTCACTTTGACCATGCTGTGCCTTTCTTTGTGAATCAGGTTTTGTCAGGAATGCCGAACGTTAATTGAAAACCATGACCAGATAAAGCTGCTTAGCAATGCAAGAAATAATTTAAACACAACGCTGAAGGTTATTCTCTGATCTTTGTCAATGAAGCCATCTATCATGATTAAATATTAAATCTTTACATTATCCCAGGAGTTACGTAAATAGGGTTACTAGAGAATACAAGCTGTGCATACAAGATTTTAATATGTTGAACAGTAGACTAAGGAAATAAGGCACAACATATAGAAGAAATATCTATATAAATAGACGAATATGAGAAAATAACTAAAAAGGGCACGCCTGGAATATTCTGGAATATAAACTACTTTAACTAATAGTCTTCACTGAGTTAACATCTCAGTCTCTTCTCCACTGTTCCGCATGAGTTATATGCTTGGTGTCTGCATATATTTGAATAGGTTGTTTCCCCTTACTTCATCTCTTGGTGAACCAAGGTTAAATTGAAGATGCAGCAGACCCGCACTTACTGAAATGCTTCCTGTACTGTATCAACTTTGTATAGTAATTGAAGTTTAGGATAAATTGAGAGTTGAGACATCTATCAAATAGCAAATTTTTGGTTGTTTGTCCTGAATTTGTGACATTCATATGTTGCTTATCCTTCATTGTATAATGTTGACCGTCTGACTTCATTGTCTTCTAATAGGATATTGAAGGTATGATGTCTATTTCCGTTGAGGCAGCAGAGGCTAGGGACTCTTTGGGTGATGCTAAAGAAATTGTCAATACATACGAGGTAATGCAAGTCTTACTTATCCTCTGATTTATTATTATGCTTAATCTTTAGATCAAGTGCATTTGAAAACTTTTTTCCTTTGCTCTTTTTCTATTTCATCCTTTCTTGTTATAGAGGTTAATAATCTTGGATGGCAAGCGGAGGTTTGCATTAGCAGCTGCAAATCCTCGCAAGGAAGATGTTGACAGATTAAGGTTTGTGTTTTCTTGAGTTCACTTTCAAACTTATGAGCTTTCAGCCAGAGTCCTGGAGTGGTCTGGCCATATTTTTTTGAAAAGATTTTAATCTGCTATAAGTCTCCCATAATATCATGATGTTGAGATTCACCTGTTTTACTAAATGACTGTAAAGAATTTGGATTCAATGAGAGACTGATGGGCCTGAGCCTAGGTTGTTTTATGTCAAGAAGAGGCCTAAGGGTCTAGAAAAGGGTAATTGATGTATTTCGAGTATGACAGTTAGAGGAAAGGCAAGAAAGGTTTCGGGAAGTTTCTGGAAAGTCTGTCTAGACAGAGCTGTTTCTATTTTCTCTGCTTGTAGTAGCTTCATCCATTAGACTTATACTCTGTGGAGGATTTTGTGACTGAATAACATTAAACCAGAGGTAGTTCCATCAGAGACATATTCAATAAACAGTGGTAAGAACTCATCCCTGCTGTCTATTTGCAACTAAGCAGACGTTTCAGACTGCCAAATCAAATAGCACTGTTTCATTAACCTGTTGGAAATGAATGGTGGCGATAGATTCTTTCTACCTCTTAGAAAAGATGCTTTTAATTGGATCTAAATCTGGATAGAGTTGTGTTCCAATTTGCATGTTTTTTGGGTCAGAAAAAGTATGGATATATACATTCATGAGAAAGTCAACCAACGCCTTGTCTAAAACATGCGAGATCTGACTCTAGGATGTCAGAAAAAGGGGATGTAGAGAAAAACACCAACCATGGGAAACCATACCCCTGTAACCAGCTTCGGCCAGCCCATCCACCGCCAAACTAAATTTAATTAAATTTTATTGATCAAGCATGTTAATCGTTGGTTTTAGACCAAAATTAAATTAATTTTGTTTTTGTTGAAACATGAGCTTATATCAAGGGTCAAGTGGAATCGATGAGTTATCTGAACTGTCTTATATGCTTTTGAAACTTGATATAAAACAACTGAGATCATTAATTAATGATTTTTCATCCTTCGTGTTTATTGTATTGTTTCAATCTCGGAATATATTTTTCCCTATCTCAATCTTGCCACATGTTTCAGAGAATATTTTGAAGAAGTAGATCAAACTTGGGAGACCTTTGAGAAGACATTATGGGGCCATATTTCCAGTTTCTATAAACTTTCTAAAGAAAGGTTTGTCTCATTATTGTGCTGATCGGTTTGTTTCATTTTGAGTATTAAAATAACCTGCCAGAATTTTCATTATTTCTTGCAATCACTTTTTGTTTGTACTACAAAACTGCTTCACTATTCATCTTCTATTACTTGTGTATTCTTTGAGATTTGAAATCATTATGATTGATGTTGATTTTAAGACTGTTGCAACTTTGTGTCCTTTGTGCTTGAGTTGAATCTTTCAAGTTAGGTTTGGTAGTCTTCTGCACGAGCCCTAGCTCAAGCTAGAGAATTTCATTAAAATGTACATCTTCTAATAAACACCTCAAACAAAAAGATTACTATTTCAATATATGCCAAAAGCAACAGGGTGTTCGGGAGGGATTTGGGGATAACTATCTTTCTTACTAAGCACAGTTCTTTATGATTTCAATTCAGTTATTTTGATTTTTATTCCATCAGTTACAATTTTGACTGCATTGCATTGGCAAATCAAGTTATGTGCTTTGACTGCAATAATGAGCATAATTCTTTATGCTTTTCCCCTTTGCAGCCCTCAAACTCTGGTCCGTGCTATAAGGTATGTTAGTGTCATACAATTACATATGCCTTTCTACTTTTCTGTCTCTTTTTTCTACTGTTGAATTGTTATTTAGATACTTGTCTGTGTTTTAATGTAGTTCCTTGTTCCCATTGAAACTCAATTTGTTGTCAGTGGCTCGTTTATAAAATCCTAACACATCCACTTTATTGTTGTATAGTATTGTACTGAAAATGTCGCATGGAATGAAAACTCTTTCATGCCATTGAGTAAACTTTACGATGCGAATGGTTTAAGAGAGATTTATAGGATTAAGCTACTTTGTATCATGTCTTGACTATATGAAAATAGTATATGGAACTATAAGATGTTCTGTGATTTTATGTCATATTAAAGAAAATAATAGGCATTTTCATTATTTTCCTACTCATAAAGGAATTATTGTTATCTGTTACAAATGAAACATGATGTTCTGCAAATTCACAGGCATCACAATGAAAATTTCAAGTTTAAAATCTTTGAACGACTTGGGAAGCAAAACACAAGGATGATTATTTCAGGATGTTCCTTATGAATGCTTTTTAGCTGGGAAACATGTGTGTTGATGATCATTGTATTCTTCAAATTGACATAATCTGTTTTTTTTTTTTTTTTATCTCTATCAATGTGGCTCTAGGGTTGTTGAAATGCAAGAAATCCTTGATCAACAGATTGCTGAGCAAGCAACTGAAATTCATGGGGATGGTGCAATGGAATCAATTGCAGATCCACGAAAACTGGCCACGTAACTTATATTCTTTTATTGTTTAAAAAACTTACATTTCTGGAATTGATTTACTAGTTTATCTATCATGTCTTCCTATTGCTATATTTAATAGGCATTCCATGCTATTTTATATTCCTCTTAAGGCCACAATCGATCTATTTATAACATGATCTTGATTTTATTGAGAGGCGCAGGCTTCATTAATTAATATTTATATGTTTATGTTTTATTATTTCTTTAATTACTATAGTCTAGGATTAGATATAGATATTAGAAGTAAAAGATATGATATCTAGCATTCTAGGGTTAGCTTATGTCTTATGCTTATATAAACCTATTGTACTTAAGGTTCAATCAGTAAATAAAAATTTACATTTACCTCTGGTTCAACATTCAGATAAAATGATCCAATTATATTCGAAACAGATAGGGCAGCAATTCTAACTAACAAAAAGTGTGTAAGAACAAAACAGTAGGCTAGCTTAACAGCTAATGAACAAACTTGAATTGTAAATGACCTTTCTCCAGTCCCCTAGGAAATAGGAACGCAAAGTTTATTTTTACCAATGGAAGGTTTTCCCCTCTGTTTTTCTTATTTTTGTTTTTGAAAAAATGTTTGTCCTGCTCACCTTTTTGCTGTTTTCATCTTTGGGCTAAAAGGAAAGGGAGAAATGTTACAATAATATAAAATGGAGAAGAAAGATACCCTATAACAGATAGGTTTTAGAATTAACCTCAACCTAACTCCAAAATTAAACTATGAATATTGTCCCTGATACAACACCAAAGGTTTCCTAATGAATTGGCAAGATCACGATTAAGAAACCAATCATAGAAAGCTAGATAAGATTAATGGAAAACGCGGCGTTAAATAATCCACATACGTCAAAGGCAGACTTGATACTTAATTGCTGAATCAGTGTTGCGTTAGTACCAAGACTTGTTTTCAGCTCTTGTAAATTTCACTATGCTTTAGGGATCTTTGAGCTTTTATGTGTATTATCAAAACAATCGGTAGGCTTGTAGAGATCCTTTGGGGCTAACAACCATTGTATCTAGTTGTTATGTCATCCTTCGATTTTGAGTGTCTTATTCCCAACATGATAATATCTTTACTAGATAAGGTGTAAGTATTACTTTGGAGTCACTCAGGATTCTGTTGTTAATGACGAATCACAGAAAATCTGCCAGTATTAAAAATTTAGCGCATCCAAATCTGAAGGTGGGCAAAGGCTATAAGGATAAGTGCTATGAACAAATACAGAAAGCTGTAGAGGAGCGGTTTAACAAGCTTCTTACTGAGGTACCTCATTTCTAGCAACGCTCTGATTCCCCTGCACATGACGCACCCCCATATAACAAACTTTTAGAATTACATGCACAAATATAGCCCAGCATGCAACTCACTGCCAATCTAATTTATGGATCAGCTTGTTTTTGAGGACGTGAAAGCAGCTCTAGTTGAAGCACGAAAGGTTCCAACTCCTCGCTTTTTATTTTTCTCCCCGTATGGACCAAATATCTATCCGATATTGTTTTCTTTCCTTCCTTTCCCTCATCTCTTTATTTCTTTCTTCCCATTACAACTCATATATTGTAATCATATTGTATCCTAATTAATCTCGTAAAAGAAATTCATCACCTTTTTTTTTTTGTGATTTATTATGTGTCCTCCTGAGATTTATGTCATGGTTGGGGATATAAGGTTAAGGCCTGGTTCTTTCATGCTAAGACCGTTATATTAAATTAAAATGTGATCTATGCAGGAAATTTTGCAACCTTTTTTGTATTTATGGATAATACAAACATACTATAGTTTCCTTAAAGATTCTTGTTTTGCATTGTATTTACAGCTCAGAGACATCATGGTATATGTGACTGGCAATGTTTGTTCCAAAGACAATTCAGTAAAATAACCAGGCAATAATTCTATGATGGAAATTAGATTTTTACAATTAAATAAAATCCTGATGAAAGCCGACAATTAAGGGTAGAGAGGATCATGTTTTTATGGTTGATAAGATTAGCCTCCATTAGGTCCTGATTTCTCTCTCATTTAATCCCTCTTCTCTTGTAGACTCCTATAAAAGGCTGTATTCATTCCATTCCAACATAGAAGCAAGAAATATTTTTCTCTGATTTCCTGTTATCAATTAAAATATGTAATATCAAAGTACTTTGGTTTTCAAAGATAGCATCCCCAACAAGGTCTCCTGATCTCAAAGAAAGGAGCTTTGCGGTGATCTTGTAGACATAAAACAACATTCTAATAGTTTATATGTCATTCAAGAACATTTATTTATTGAAAAAAAAAAAAAAAGAAACTCGTAAAACCTTCATGAGATGATCATTCTCAAAGGACTAAGCATATGAAAAGTCATATTGAAAGCATCTAGACTGGGAGCCTTCTCTGTACCCATTATTCTATTCACACCTTGTGTTGGTGCTCTTTTGATTTTAAAAATCACATTATGCAAAAAAGTTTCACTGTTGATACTGAAAATCTTAATTTTGCCTCGTTGCTTATATTTGTTCCATATCATCCAGTCTCCTCTTTATGTCTATTATCATTTTAACCTTTCTCTTAATGTCATACAGATTCAAGAGGAACTTAGAGATGTCTATGAATATGTAGCCCCTTGCTTTCCCCCGAGGTTTGCACCATCTTTTAATATGACTTCTCTTCATTTTCCCTCCTACTCTACAGGCCCTCTAGCAACATGTCATTCTCTTGAGATACTATTTGGGTATGACTCATCAAAGTATATTTTTTGCTTCCTACATGTTAATGGCTTTTTCTTATTTTCTTTTCTTTTTTTCAATATATACAGTTCTCTCCATTTTTTTATTTAATTTTCTTCTTATTGTAGATCACATGCACGCATTCCTCTGTGTGTGTGTGTTGTTGTTGTTGTTATGGCTTACAAAATTGTGTTTCGGACACCAGTCCTGTATATGAGGATAATCTTCATGATTTACCACACCTAAGGAAGCATTTTTTGTTATGGGGTTTCTTTATATACTAGTTCAATTTTCTCTCATTCTGTTTCCTGTTATGGCAGATATAAAATATTTCAGCTAATGGTAAATCTGTACTCAGAGAGGTTTACTCAAATGCTGTGGTTGCTTAGTGACAGGGCAAATGATTTTGCAAACATTGAGATATTAAAGGTACTTTGCTAGAGTGTTGTTCATGTTAATTATCATCTCGTATGATGTCATATTCTCCTAAAGGTGAGCCAGCCGGGTATTTTTGCCTGCCAGAATGAATTCAAACTTTGGATTCCTTGCATCAGCAAACTTTCGTTTTTTTTTTTTTCCCCCTCACCAAAAGATGTGGGAATGGCGGGCCTTTTTTGTAATACTGAAAGTAACGCCTCTCTTACTGGCGTATGATAAATCTATATCTTTCAACGGAACGGTATCTAGGTGATGTTGAACTCCTTATTGCTAAAACATTACTTTTCAAGTGTTAGTTTACAGTTTTCGAAGATAGAGATAAAATTTAGAGACTTCTGTATGGATTAGTTAAAGAAACTTAGGAGTTATCTTGTTGATGTTGAACCATTCATGTCTTTGTGGAAGTTATCGTTTCCTTGCTGTTTAGCTGTTGCGAGCTTCAAATGTTTCTGGCTTTTATTCCTGTAAAAGCAGCTAAAATTGACTCATCATTTCTCTACTACATTCGTTCACTGAAGTTACAGATAGTTAATTGTTGAACATTTTCCCCTTTTTTGGCAATTCATTGATCATTGTCTCCAGTTTGTCTCCAGTTTCCAGTGTAACTTCAGGTGTCATGACTTTCTAATTTCTTGGTTATAAAGTAGGTGATCAGTTGGGTCGTTGAATATCAAGATACTCTGATTGGGCTAGGTGTCGATGAGTCTCTGGTTCAACTTTGTTCTGAAAGTGGTGCCACGGATCCCCTTATGAACACATATGTTGAAAGAATGCAAGCTACAACCAGGGTAATTCTACCATCGTTATCTATTCATTTGACTATGATGCATAATTTTTCCTTCAATAAATTTTTTATCAAATCTAATATCACACTCTATTTATGTGCACTTTTAGAGATGGTACATGAACATCTTGGAGGCTGATAAAACACAGCGCCCAAAGGAAACAAAAGATGGAAAGCTATATACCCCCGCAGCTGTTGATCTGTTCAGTATGCTTGAAGAGCAAGTGCAAATTGTTCAAGATAATAGTTCTGATGTCATGTTATACAGAATTGCCTTGGCAACCATACAGGTAGTTTTAATTTTGATTTATATGCATAAATGATGAATCTCCTCTTAGAAAAAATTGTAAATCAGACAAAAAACGTCAAAGATAAACTTTTTTCATTGTTACAATAATGTCGCTATTTGTGCAAATAACCATAACTCATAGAGCCACCTGATTTTACAGGTGTTGATTGGTTTCCAAGCAGCTGAAAAGAAGGGACTTGAAATTGATCTAGAAGCTTTACTTGCAATGGTTAGTGCTCTTTATCAGGCTATGGACCTATTCATCAATATGACACTGTTTTGAAGTTTGAGTTAACATAGATTCCACGGGATGTTGTATTTAGACAAACAACAACTTGCGCTGTTATGATCTTGCAATGGAGCTGAGTAATACCATTATTGAAGCTCTTCCACAAAAGTTTGCTGAGCAGGTTTGGAGCCTTTTTTTCTTTTTGGTATTCGTTCAGGCTGATTTGATTTATTTCTTAACTGTTGCATGATTGATGTGCTCTTGTTGCTATTGTATTTTCCTGAATTCATGTTCATATTTCCCACAATTTCTAGCTTACTTATTACCTGGGAGTCTGGAAACTGGTTTTAAGAAACAAGATTTATTATATTGTGAAGGAAAGTTGGGTAATCAATATGGGTTAATGTTTTGCTGATGTTTGCCCCGCTTAGAGAGAAATACAATACAAATATCGTTTATGAAGTTGACCAAAAACTAGGATATATTTTCTTAAGACTATGTGCTGAGCTATAGGCTTTTAAATCTTTTTGCTTATTCCTATTGTTCTATGTACAGTCTGTTAAATGCGTGTTCAGATTCTGTCGCTGCATACGTCTGCTGTCTTCTCATTTTTGAAAGAGAAAGAAGTCTTTCTAGATAACAGAAAATTGTACAAAGAATGATAATTAAGTTAGCCTCCTAAATTCTGTGTAGTGAAGTATAAATATAAGGACACCTCTTCAAAGAATTTATGAAGTAAGAATAACACAAAATGGAAGCTATTAACATCGTCTTTTCCCACTGCAACAATAAAGCAGCAAAATGTCACCCTTGGCTCCCCCCCCCCCCCAAAAAAAAAAATCTTTTCCAAAGTAACCGCTCCATTATCAGAGGGCCCACACAAGAGACCCACTTTATTAGACACGCAGATTGACTGGCATCTTTTCTGCATGATTGAGTTTCTTTTATTCTTTTCCGTTCTTGTTTCAGTTATAATCTGTTGATGTTAATGTGGAGAGTACTTCATCCTCCTCTCATGTACTTACTCTTCCACCTTCGTATGGTTTCTTTTACATGGAAAAGAAAAGGAATCTGTGTTCGTTGAGCTTGATATTTGAATTAGTGATATTTTCTTTTTTTGTTTTTCTTGAATTCATATTTTTAGATTTGTTTTCCTCACAGGTTAATTTCGAAGATGCCTATAAGGGATTTCTAGATGTTGCTAAGGTATAGAAGTGTCTGAAAATGTGCTATTATAATGCTTTCTTGGTGGATGTTTATTGGGTCCGGGTTATTTTATTCTGCCAAATTCAGCATGATGCCTTTTATGATTAGAAGTTCAATGTGCGATTTCCTTCTTAATGGAGATTTCCCAGTTCATCTTGAAAACATATTGATATTATTTATCCAAAGAGCCATCGCTCTTTCCTTTTCCCATGTTCTCTCCCCTCGCTGGCCTGGATCCTGAATAAATATAATGCATTGGATGCCGTAAGTCATTTATTTTGGTAAGAAAGCATCGGAATTATGGACTACTGGATGGTGACGAGGGGGAAAAATAGTTATCGTAACTCAGGTGCTAGATATCTTGAGAAATGGGATTTCCTTGTCTAATTACTCTGTAGATCTGTCTCGTCTTTCAAAAGATAACTGTTTTATACCATAGGCAGTGAAAATTGATATCCTTTTTTCTTTTTTCTTTTTCAATTTTAACCTTCAGCTCACTCGAATCTCTTATGAAGTATGTGTGGACAGCTCTTGATAGGTTATCATAAACACATTATTAAACAATTCTTTGTTTGTTCCTTGTTGTTATGCTCTGAATGGTTTGTCCTCTTCCTCTGTTGTTATTCATCCCTTGCTTGTCCAAATGCCACTTGTTTCAAGCTCAGGCATTTCGTTTTTGGATGAGAGAACTCTCTTTGCAGATTATCATCCATCCTATCCTTTAACCCTCCGTATCAATTTGTAGCACATAAATATAAGTTTATCAGTTGACCCAAAAAAATTGAAATTTTATCAGTATTGTTTATGTACTTAACCAGTTTAGTTTGATGATATCAGTTATTTTGAAAGGGGTTTTACTACTACAATATAAATTCTGCACCTTTGATGACAGGAAGCTGTGCATTTAACTGCGTGTGTGTTTTTTGAAGATCCCAGTGTCCAGGAGGAGTTGGCAAAGCTATACCAGACAGGTTAAGCACTTTTCCCCACTACCAAGCGACCTACTATTGCACTTATATAAGGTTTAATGTGATAGTATAAACTTTGTTTTGGAGGAGGTCAAATGGAATATTTGATAAAACCAGATATCTTTTCTCCGGTTAAGTACTTTGCAATGCAAGAATATGGCCTATAAAAGCTTTGCTGGGTTGCTTTGGTTTTGGGCGGTCTAGTTCTGGCTTCCTCGTAACATCAGCACTTAACTTGCCATGGGAATGTGAAATTTAGTCTTATATAAAAGTATGAATCACGAGATAATTAGCAGATTAGTCCTTCCACTTCTGAGATTCACTTCCCTGCCCAAAAATTTGGACTTTCTTTCTAAGGAAGAAAGACAAGTTGTTGTGAGCCCATTGTATGTATTTATTATTTAGGCATCTGTTAAATTTTTCTGGAGCTAAACTCAAGAATTTTGGCCCAGTTGTTTCTAATACTGAATCATCTTAGGAAAAAAGACAGTTTTCCTGGCTCGTGTTTATGCCCATGAGTCTTCTGTCAGGTTTCAGGGGAATTTGGGATCTATTTTCCACCTTTGTTCATCTCTATTCTTTTTCATCTTTCTTTGTGTTTTTGGGATGCTTCCTTGTTCTTCACCTCTTTATTTTCATTCTCTCAATAATTCTAACAATGCTGAGAACCTTATGATATCATAGGAAGAAACCCATTGCAAAGTCTCTAAATTTTGCGGTAAATTACATGTTACTCCTCTGGTCCTAAATATAAGACCTATTTTATAGTATAAATTACACTACAAAATAGGTCGTATATTTAGAACCGGAGGGTTATCTTTCTAGTAATTGATTGATACATGCTACTAGTATCAAGGATTTGGCTTCTCTATTTCATGTCTTTAAATTTGGTGTGTACTAGTATTTAATTTTTAAATGTTGTAGATCATGTTTTCTTTCCTGTCTTTGCAAGCACATCAAGTCATTAAATTGTTTTAATTAAAAAGTTGTCTCCTCTTTTTGCATATTCCAGAATGGAGCGAGGGACTAGTAACTGAGTGCGTAGTGGAATTACTTGATGATTATTTTTCAGTAGTTAAAAGGTAACTTTGTTTTCCCTTGAATTCCATCCCGCAAAAAATTTGATTCCCTAATGAACGATTGAGCTTGTGTAAGCTTCCTGACAACTTCATATATTGATCATAAATTATCTTTCTCGAATAAAGGAGAACAAATGGGATAAGGCTTAAAATTATTCCTATGAAAGGGTTGAGGATTATTCCAATGTTCTAATAGAAGTGTAATGCATAAAATTGCAGAGGAAGGAAAGACGTTTCTTGGTTTGACATGTTCATAATGTATTCCAACTTGGTTTCATTCCTGACGCAATATAACTTCTTATCATCCAAGGTACATTGATGAAAGATCTTTTAGAGAATGTGTTGAAGCCTGCCTTAAGGAAACAGTGATCGTATATATTGATCATCTTCTAACACAGGTTCTTAAAATTACTAATTATTTTTTCAATATCCAGACTTCAACTGTGCATGTTTAACAACTTATCAGTAATGATATCAGTGTCTCACTGGTCAATTTGATTGCAGAAAAGCAACATTACAGGAAAAACAATTGAAAGGATGAGGCTAGATGAAGAGGTTATCATGAGCTTTTTTAGGAAATATACAAGTGTTTTTGTGAGTGCTCTCTTTTTAATGTTCAAATTATGTTGTTGGGTCTGTGGCATATAGTTGTAAAGCTTCTTATTGTAATTTGCTTGGCATTTTGGGTTAGAAAGTTGAAAGCAGATTGAGGATACTCAGCGACTTGAGGGAACTTGCTTCCGCTGAGAGTTTGGATGCCTTCAGCCTCATCTATTCAAATATTCTTGAACACCAACCAGACTGCCCGGTAAAATTATCCTCAATATGATATAAATATGTGGCTGCAAATACAATTATGTGAAGGGTTTTACTCTGAAATTTATATTTTATTTTCAACACACTAATTGCAACTTGGATTATTATCATTATTGATCCTTACAGTAAATTTCACTAGGACTAACACTTAAATATAGGGACCTAAAACTCATTAAAAGTATAGGGGTCAAAACCAAAACTCACTTGATTCTTATACTTCTAATGAGTTTTGGTTTTGATCATGTACTTTTAACAAATTATACACAGACCAAGTCTTTATGAAATTAAAGGAACCAAAAAACACGATTTGAAATTACTGGAACTAAAGCTAAAATTGTAAGGACCGATAATAATATTAATAGGGGAATGTAGGGCAGAAAAGGTTCAGCCAATCACTAATAGAAGGACACAAACAACATCAATAAAACTCAAGTAGGAAACTATGAAGTTCAAAAACAGCATTTTGTCCCCTTCTTTTAGAAGAACAAGTCTAAGAGCCCATGAAGTTTTAAACTTCTAATAGAGTCCCGTTTTATGTATCACTTTGCCCTGCTCTTCTTGTAGGCTGAAGTTGTTGAAAAGCTTGTTGGTATGCGAGAAGACATTCCTCGGAAGGATGCCAAGGAGGTAAACAGAATTCACTGGTTATTTTGCTAATTTTTTTCAAGTTTACCCCAACTTAAATGATGTAGATAGAGAAACACAAAGTTCATTGAGCTTTTTAATACTAAACCATAATAACAAGGGTAAAATTAGAAAGTAACAATTAGTAGATTAGTTAACGACTTATATTTAAAACAAAACAAAAAAAGCTTCTAGAACATGCCCTACAATAAGGACCAGAGGGAGTACAAGTGAAAGTCAGCTACTAGTTATAAGAGTTTTGCCGGAGAAATTTTATTGATATTGATGAATTTCTTATTTCTTATCTTTGTTAAGCAGGTCGTACAAGTTTGCAAGGAGATATATGAGAATTCCCTTGTTGATGGAAGAACTCCAAAGACTGGATTTGTTTTCCCACGAGTCAAGTGCCTAAATAATGCATCATCAAAATCGATATGGCCTAAACTCACTTAAATCAAATCAATTAAACTATATAAGGAAGAAATCAAACGATATGACATTATTCACTAATTCTGTTTTGCCTTATACTAATTTATTTGCTATTCTTTCGCATATCAAATATTCCGTTTGGATGGAAGAAAAGTTAGTAGGAAAAAAGAATAAAGAGAAGAGAAAACCTGAGAGATCCTATTATCGCTTCTTCTTTATGGATACAGAGGAGAAAACAAAGCAGGAAAAAAAGAAGAAGCAAATTTCGCATTGACAATAATACTTTTGCGTCCTCCGATCCAAAATATTCGACATTTTCTATTAGCTAGTGTTGGTCCAAAATGTAGGACTCTCCGCAAAAAGTCAATGGTATTAGATTTTTGTTTTTCATAAATGCCCTTGTTACTGTATTGCAGGGAAAAATTATACTACCTCCGGTTTTTAATATAAAACTTCATTTGAATTTTGTTTTAATCTTAAATATAAGATTCCAATCTACTTTGTCTCTTATATTTATCTATTTTTCTGAAGATAGTCTTTGTAATAATGATAGTTCAAACCAATATATTTGATAAGGAAGGATATTTTAAGAAAAACAACACTCATTTTTTACAAATAACTAATTTAACTAGTTTTCTTAGACTAATCATATTAGTTAACTGGCTCTTATATTAAGGACAGAAAGTAGTATAAGCAACAGATCAACAGATGAGCAAGATAGATTGATTTTAATTGGAGGATAATATTAAAAGTTGGTGATTATTTATTTTATTTTAACGATGCAAACCACTTTTAACTATGGGAAAATCACAAATAACGACTGTGAAATTAGAAAAATTACAAAAATACTCCTCCGGTCTTTATTATAAGACCCCATTTGACTTTTTATTTGGTCCTAATTATAAGATCCCAATCCATTTTGTCTCTTATATTTATGCATTTTTTTCAAGATAATCCTTCTAATAATGATAGTTTTAGCCAATATACTTAATTAGCAAGGATATTTTAGGAATGACAACACTTATTTATTATAAATAACCAACTTAACTTACTTCCTTAATCTCCTCAAATAAGTAAATTGGGTCTTATAATTAGGATCGGAGGAGTAGTTGTTAAAACCCATGTTATTGTTGTCAAAACCCATGTTAATGTTGTTATGGGTCCTAGTTTGTGATTTTTCCTATTTTACGGTCTTTATTTGTGATTTTTCCTTTAACTATCTTTTCTTTCTAATTATTGTGAAATAGTTAAACGTTTCTTATATTTTACACGTGGGAGTATATTACAGTCGAAGTCATTACCTTTGTTACAATCATCAATCAGTTACCAATGTAAAAATTGGAAGCTCTGGCATTTTTCTCACCAAGATTCTTTTTCTCCATGACTGGAATTTTATAATTTATACTACCTCTAGTCTTTAATATAAGAACTAATTAACTAATTTAAATAAATTAAAAAAATTAGTTAAATTAGTTATTTGTAACAAATAAGTGTGGTGTTCCTTAAAATAATCTTGCTAATCATGCGTATTAATTAGAATTATCATTTGATGTAATATTTAACATGTATAATTATTATAAGGATTATCTTAGAAAAAATAGATAAATTAATTTATGCATTCTCAAAGTTTAGAATTTTATTCATTTTAAGCTCTCTGAATTTTTTTTGGGGGCGGGGGTTGGGGACTTCTGTAATGAAACATTTGGCTTCATATTTCATATTTGCATGTTTGATTTTTTTTTTTTTGGTCGAAGGATTTATCATTTATATATATATATAGCTAGAACAATTATGTAAAAATCAAGTAAAAAAATACTTATATAAAATGGTTTTTTGCATGGCTTATGTTTGAAAGCTTTGGAGTTAATTTGATATTTTTCACGTTAAGTATATGTATCTTTCTATTAGAAGCAATCTTATTTAAGGTACTATTATGCACTAAATGTAAGCACTTTTCCTAACACTAATTCAAATCTTAGTTTATTACATTATGAGAGATTAGTCCAATTCTGCTAGGTCTGATCCTGTAGGTATTAATTTGATTATTAATATTATAAAAACATATATAAACAATCATTGATAGGTTGGCCCGCTAATTATCTCATGATGGCCGCATTAAAAAGAAATCCAGTCTATCGGAAAAATGTGACCAAGTTAAGTTTAAGTATTATTTAATGGGCCACGCTTATGAATGATGACAAGCTTCATAAACAAGTACTGGACAAAAGTTGTACCAAAAAAGAGAGCACATGGACAGAACCCAGTTATTGATATCCATGTGTGCAAACGTTAATTAGCAAGTTCTAGCTAAATCTCTTAATAATTGGTTCTTTTCAGAAAAAATCTCAAATAAATGATTGTTAAATTTTAAAATTTTAAATCAAGAATTAATAAGAAATATGTTGTCATTAGTTTTTTTTTAATGTAGTTATTCTTTTTACGAGTATAATATCTCATTCTAATTTGAAATTTTAAAATTCAACAGTTTTTTTTAAATTTTTCCTTCATTTTATACCTATTATTTTTTGACTGAACTGTTTTGTCCATATGCCACAAAATAGAACAAAAAGAACGATTTTTTTTTTGGTGTGGGGCCGATGAAAAATTAATATACAATTTTATGGGCATGCTCAGGAAATAAATAGAACCCTCGAACAAGTATTCAATCGATGTTGAAAAGAACACACAAAGCAAGCAGTCACATGTAATTATTAAGAGAAACAAAAATCAAAAGATAAAAAGAAGAGAAAAGGCATGGGAGAGCCCATAAAAGAAGGATGGCTTGTTTATTTATGTCTCCTAAGCCTTAAACATTGTGATGTGCTTTATTTGTTTTTGTCCATTTCAAGCCACTGTAGCTTTCATTTCTCATGGTCATTTCCATTTTACAACGACATTTCATGCAAATTTGAGATTTTCTGCTTAGATTTCTCGATAATCCAATTGAGTATGAACAAATTAATTAAATAAACAAACTTTAGCCCTTTAAATTTGTCATCATTTTAATTTTGGTCCCTCAAGTTTTTTTTACTTAAAATATCAATTCCTATAATTTAATAAAAACTTGAACTATTTTACTCATAGAAGATCAAAACCTATAATTTAAAATTTGAGAAACTAAAACTAAAATGAAAACAAATTTAAAGAACTAAAGATTATATTAACCTAGTTATGTGAGTATTTGTTGATATTGATAAATTTCATGCAAATCATGTATTTTTTTATATAATCCCATAAATAGTTTATTTTACATATTATATTTATGTTATTATTAAAAACTAGCAGTAGAATAATAATAATAATCATAACCAATGTTTCGTTAATCACGATACATGATAAAGTCCATAATAAATCTATTATTAACCAACTGACTCTCGCTTTTTTCCCTCGAAATTACATGTAATAAAGAAAATAGGTCAAATATATACTAGAGGAGCCTAATTTTTCTGTAATTCATCGGAAAAAAATTGATCAATTTCAAAATTACTCAGCCAAGCATTTAATTGATTTTATATATTTTTAATTTTTAATTGCCCTACTGAATAATCCACAGGAAGCCCCACAAGTCACATGTCATACGAGCAGCATGAGCCAAAATGCTGGAAGTAGAACCTGTTTGCAGGTGAGGATTTGATCACGAAGAAGAAGAACTGGGAAAAAAGGATAGTAATGAAAAAAATGTACAAAAACTTCTACTTGTTCTTCCTTTTGATCTTCCCATTACAGAAAAGTGAACCAAATCCAAAGAAACCCACATATGCTTTGGGAATATACGCTTGCGGTAGATTCAACACAGGACTGATTCGAACCCCATTGCCAGAAGATCCACATTTCTTATTTAAAGAAGGAGGATTCCGAGACGAGCTATAGAAATAAAATGCAGATGAAGATGAAGATGACGATGATGATGGCCTTCTGCTTGAAACAGAGGACTGTTTCTGCAACCTCTGTTTCTGTGTTTCCTTCGGAATCTCAGATTGTTTTGGATTTAGGGATGAACCAGTGGATTTGCTTCGCGATAGAAACTGTAACGATCGAATCAAGCTCTTCCCGCGTGTGGCTTCACAATTCAAACTGCTGCTTCGCTTGAATTGCCAGAAAGATCTCGATGGAGGCTTTTCTTCTTCATTTAAGAACTCTACGAGTCTCTTCTTCTTCTCCGTACACCCAGTGCTGGAAGTTTCAGAACGAGGACAAACACCAGACTCTGAAAATGGATGAATCTCACTGTAACAAGAAGAAGAAGAAGCATTTGGAGATTTCGGTTTCTTAATTTCCATCGGCACGATCTTGCCATTGGAGAAAAGCTCATCGGCAGAGGACAGTTCTTGAGACAACACATGATTGGAAATGCAGAACACAAAGTCGGAGCTGGAGTCCAACAGGCACAAGTCCGATCGCCGGCGACGGTGATCTTCAAGTGGATCATCGTCATCATCCTTAGTGTTCTTCAGATCATGCGAGAAAGAGATTCGTGGGCTGATTCCCGCGCTGGAAATCTCAGAGCACAAATCTATAGCCATATTGGAACCGAAAAACCTCTGTCTGTGGGGAACAAAAACAGAAACTTGAATCGAGGGACAGCAATGACCGCGAAAAAAGTTTCAAAATTTAGGAGGTGACAATGTTAGTTGAAATAGGGACCAAAATGGGGTAGGAGTAACAGAGTCAAAGGAAGTGAAAAAGACTTGAGAGAGAGAGAGATAGAAGAATGGGGAAGAAGAAAGTCAGAAACAGCAGCTTTAGCTTTAGGTTGTGCTTTTTGTCCGAGCTAGGAGGAGCTTGGACTTGGTGGAGCATCTTCCAAAACTGAGAGGAACAATTATGGAGGAAGCAGGGTGGTGATGATGATTAGGATCTGGGGTTGGATTTTATATTCTTTACTGTGCCAAAAACAATCTTTTGTTGAAGAGTAAAGCTAAAAAAGAGAAAAAAAAGCAGAGCAAAGAGAGGAATGAACACTTCAAATTATCACCGAAAGCCTACCAGAGGATCTCTCTTTTAGGGGATCCCAAAGAATTTTTACCCATATGGATTTGTCCTATGCTTGGGTGTGTGCATTTAGGCATCACCACAAGTTCTAAATAAAGTGGTTGAGATTTGGACACGTAAAGTCATCTGTCGTTTTGATTAGCTCAAGAAAATTAGGAA